AAGACCTTTAGGTTAATAGCCTTAAAGTTATTAATAAACTAGTTAGTAAGGTCTTCTTGTATATAGTAAAGTAATTTACTACTAAGGTAGTTATTATACTTAGATTTACTAAGGTAAAATATAGTAATAGTATTAAGCGTAAAGGACTATTACTTCTCTATAAAGTTAGTTAGTAACCTTATAATATAATCTCTCCCTTATTAGTATAGAAGAATATACTATATAAAAGAGAAAGGTATAGTAATAATATTATTTATTACTATTATCTTCTTTACTATATTAAGTAGTATATTATATTTACTATAAATTTCTTTTTCTTATTACTTTATAAGTAAAGGTGTAGTAACCTATAAGCCTTACTTACTTATAAGCTTATCTTATTTATTTATCTTAGCTTATATCTTTTACTTATAAGTGTAGTATTATTTACTATTATCCTTTATTAGCCTAATAACCTCTTAAATATAGGTATTTCTTTTAGTAGACTAGAAGGTATATACGTTTATTAAAGGGATTACTACTAGTAGTATAAACAACTAGAGAAAAATATACTCTTATAAGTAAATAACTTAGGGAAAAACAATAGGCTATTACGTTAGCCACTTATTAATACTATTAGTTAGTAAAAAAAGAGAAAATAATAGGCTATTATATTAGTAACTTATTAACAGTATTAGTTAGTAAAAGAAGTATATATATAGAAAAAAAAAGAAGTTAGTAAGCTAAAGAGCTTATAATAAATAAGATATAGTAAATAATTACTAGTTAGCTATAGGTATATAAAGTAAAAGGTTTTTTATAGTTAAAAGTGCTTCTCTAAAGGTAATAAAGCTTATATAATAGACATAAATTAACAGGGTTTCTACTAGTTAAGGGGACTAGTTATAGATCTATTAATTAACCTATTATAATAGGTAATTAGTATAATATTACAGTAAAGGTATTTACAGAGGCGTTTTTTAGTCTTTACCTACTCTAGGTATATAAATAATTAACTAGTAATAATTACCTCTTCTTATAGTCCTTACTAATCTATAGTTTAGATAGTAAAGTTAACCTATATAGTTAATAGTAAAGTTAACTACTAATTAGTATTAGTAACACTAAGGGATAAGTTAATATAGTTAACTATATATATTAGTAGTAATTAATAAATAATAGGGGTAACTATAGTTCTCTATTATATATAAAAAAAGAAGAATAATTATTATAGGTTAGTTAGTTAAATAACTAACTTATTGCCTATAAATCCTTGGAGAATCTATAGCTAAATATCCAAGGATTTGCTAGCAATAAGTCATTAGGGTTAACCTAATAACTCTAATATTTATCCACAATAGTCAACATTACAATAATTATATATATAGTACTTAATAGTTATTACTAAATCCTAGTTTTAAAGTATATAATATTTTAAGTAAAATATATAAATAATACTATACTATAAGTAAAAATTAAGTAATATTATATATAATTAATTTACTAATTTTACTTATTTTTATTTTTTATGTTATATAGTTGTATATTATACAAAATATAATATAGATATAATATAATACAAATACAAATATATGTATTGTCTTTCCTATACAATACAATACAAATACATGTATTATATTTATATTATATTATATTGTATTTGTATTATATTTTTATATTATATTATATTTTGTATTTTTTTTAAACTCTCTGGTTATTATATAGTTAGTTATTATATAGTTAGTTATTATATAGTTAGGTGTTATATAGTTAGTTATATTATTATTCCTTATTTTCTAGTAAGTTATTAACTTATTATATAGTTAGTTATTATATAGTTAGTTATTATATAGTTAGTTATTATATAGTTAGTTATTATATAGTTAGTTATTATATAGTTAGTTATTTATTATAACTTTAGTATAGCTATATATATTAATATACTTTACTTATTACACTATATATTAACTAATATATTATTTACTTATCTTTTTTCTTTATATAGTGCTTAATAAACTTTACTAAATCTTACTTATTAAGTATACTATACTTTAAAGAGAATATATAAATAATGCTATACTATATAAAATAATTAAGTAATATTATAAATAGTTAATATACTAATTTCCAATTACTTTTATTTTTTATCCTATATAGTTATATTTTATATAGAGTATAATATTAATATTATATAATATAAGTATATGTATATATATATTATCTTTCTAATATAATATAATATAAATACATATATTATATTTATAATATATTATATTATATTTATATTATATTTTTGTATTATATTATATTTTATACTTTTTTAAACTCTCTAGTAGTAGTAGTGCCTTCTTAAATAGGCTTAACATACCAGCTACTAACTAGATTATACTAGTATTCTACTACTGCCTAATAAAAAGAGGTATAAGTAGAATACTAAAGTAATTTAGTTAGTAGCTAGTAAGTTAAGCCTATTTTATAATATATTATATTAGCACTAGTAAAAGATTACTTATAATAATATTCTAACTTAACTAACTAGGTATAAGTAGAATACTATTGTAATTTAGTTAATAGCTAGTAAGTTAAGCCTATTTTAGAATATACTATATTAGTATTCGTAAGAATAATATTCTAACCTAACTAACTAATAAGAAGGCTAAGATTTAGAAAGTTATATAAAGTTAAAAACTTATTAGATTTAAGTAATTTATAGTTAAAGTAAAATAAAAGCAATAGCTATAGTTAATTTTAAAACTTATTATACTATATAATCTATTTAATTAAAGAGTAATACCTTTATTATAATAGTAAATTTATATATATTACTATTACTTTTTAATAATTAGATATAAAAGCTTAATCTTAGGTATTATAAGTATCTATTAGCTATAGTAGATTTATAGTAAAAAAGGCGTTTTCTATATAGGTTATAGACATAGGCAGTAGTAGTAGTAGTAGTAGTAGTAGTAGTAGTAGTAGTAGTGCCTTATAAAATAGGCTTAACTTACTAGCTACTAACTAAATTACACTAGTATTTTACCTATGCCTTAACTAACTAATAAGAAGGCCAGGATTTAGAAAGTTATATATAGTTAAAAACTCTTTAGATTTAAGTAATTTAAAGTTAAGGTAAAATAGAGGTAATAGTAATAGTTATAGGTAAATTACTAGTGCACTTTTAGTATTCTACTAGTAGGTTAAACCTAGTTAGAAAGTAGATTATACTAGTATATCTATATTTAACTTATTTAACTAATAAGAGAGCCAGGATTTAAAAAGTTATACGTCAGGTTAACCTAGCATCAGATTAACCTAGCGTCAGATTAACCCAGCATTAGATTAACCCAGCGTCAGATTAATCTAGCGTTAGATTAACCTAGCGTTAGATTAACCTAGCGCTAGATTAAAAATTAATCCTGCCTATACTGCCTATACTGCCTAGGCAGTAGCTATAGTAGTAGTAGCAGCACTAACTGCTAGTAAAGTTTTTACTGCTATTGCATTGTAGGCGTCTGTTAGCAATAGTGGATTTACGGCAAAAAAGAGCGTTTTTTGTATAGGTTATAGCCTGCGGCGGTGGCAGTGGTAGCAGTAGTAGCAGTGCCTACCTAACTAGGTTTAACCTACTAGCAAAATACTAAAAGTGCACTAGCAATTTACCTGTAACCAATAGTAATAGCTGTAATTAATTTAAAAGTTTATTATATTATATAACTAATTCAAGGCCTAAGTTAACTTTACCTATAGTGCCTATAGTGCCAATATTGCCTATATTGCCTATATTGCTATAAGGGCTACGGCGACAGTGGCACTAACGTAGGCATTGTGGGCGTCTGTTGGCGATAGTGGATTTATAGCAAAAAGGGCGTTTTTCACATAGGTTATAGACGTAGGCAGTAGTGGTCGTGGTAGTGGTGGCCATGGTGGTGGCTATGGCGGTGGTAGTGGCAGTGGTGGCAGTGCCTTCCAAAATAGGCTTAACCCACTGGCCGCCAACCAAATCGCTCTGGCATTCTACCTGTACCCACAAAAGGGGGGCTTTAGACGTTACTGACAGGGACTAGCCATACAAAGGAGCGCAGGTCGAGTCAGCTATAGAGTCACTAGGTTAGTCAAATGTCATTGAGGTTAGCTTTAGTAGTAGGATTTTAGGTCTACTAGACTAGGGTTTAATAATACACATATATTTCCCGCTCTAATACTTGCTTTAAGCCACTCCGGAGTCACCGTGACTATAAGTGTAAATACTTAGAATTAATATACAAGATAACTCCTATGTGTTGATACATCCCTCTCTGCAATTAATATTATATTACTGTATGCACTAATCTATATCTGATTACTCTCTACTGTTTGATAGGGATACTATTTTCTATAAATGCCGAATCACAATACGCCTTGTCTGTCTTACAATGTCCCTCCAAGTCATCACCTTTGATGTCGGATCGTCTCCATGAGGTGCTTTTACTTTATCGTTCTGCTGGCTATTGCGCCCTGCATCGCTCTTCCGACTTGGTCTCTAGGTTCTAATTACAGAACACAAACTCAAAAGACACGCAATCTTAACAAGGACCCCTCATTACGACTCCATGATGTTAAGCTAGTACACCGCAGTACAACTGAAAACTACAAAGTAGCACAAGCTGCTGTACCTACACAGCTCATACCAGGCAACTATTATTTCTTCATGAGCTGTGCTACAGTAGAACCTGGATATCGATATGGCAATCCTGGAGGCCAATATGTTGTGGATAAGGTTGGCTGCTCACATGTTGGAGTTGTTTATGGCCAGGTGTCCCAGTCAGGGGATGATTTTAAGGCGTGGTATCAGCATCCGAAAGTGACAATCAGAAGGCATTGGGAAGGAAATCATCCCGTAATTGACAGCATGCGCTGGTCCCAGTCGGACAACCAATGGTATCCTAGGCCAGGTCAAAGGTATCTCCCCAGCATGTTGGATTTTGTATGTCTAGAGTTGTTTGAGATCTAACTTGTTCCCTAGACTGATGTATGGCTATGGGGGTCCCACGACTGCCGAAAAGGCCAACCGTCGCAGTCTTTGGAATAGAGGTACGTTAGTCAAGTTTATCCTGATCACAGTATCCAGACACTTTGAGACTAAAACCTCCTTTAGGACAACACTGGTTATTGAGCGCTGACAATAAATTTGATAAGGATTGGAACTGTTTAAAATACTACTTGTATCTAAGAGAACAGCTTGCCGATTAAAAAAAAACATTTCTATTAGTAATGCTCCCTAAAATAGGTCAAGAGGCAAAAAATAAAGGTATTTCTCTGCCTTCCTGTGATGGTGCGTGTAAGTGAGTGTCGCCACATCACTACCACGGAGATGGCTTGGGAGATGGCCCACCAACCTTGGAACCGACACCTACTCGCCACGCTTTCGGAATGCCGACAAACTTACTTCCGGCCGCTGCCGTCTGATAAGAGGCCCGGATGCAGCTGAGGTCTAGCTTAACCTGTCCTGGCGCTGGTCGTGGGTGCGGTTTTGCGACAGTGACGTTGAACCATGTGGCGGGCCATCCTAAACCCGAACCGGGCCTCGGGTTGATATTCGGTCGGGTTACTCCTGCTTTCTCATGCAGTACTACCGTACCCAGCCGGCCATATATATGAGTCGGTGTACCCAGCCCTCAAAGCCACCTATGACAGCACCAAAGGTCAGGTCTGACCCTGTTAAATCTATCTCTTGTGTATATTAGTATGATTACTGCTATAGGCCTCTGCGTTGCTTTGCGTTGTAATGCGTCTTAGCCCTACCTAACCTGCTTGTTTGACGTGAGTGCTCTTCCTGAGTTGTTCTGTTGCCTCGTACCCTAGCTAGATACCAACGCATAGCAGACACTCACCCTACCTACCGTAATTGAGTAAACAGCATCCGGACTCTGCAACATCGCGACGCTAGCCACTAGGTCCTGAGCTGGAAACACCTTAGAGGTAGTTCCGTCCGTATAGTCACATATAATGGGATAGAAGATCTGGTTAAGGGGGTTAATAGCTATAAACAAATACCTATTCGAGCTCTTAGTGGTATAGTACGGTGCCTAGAACACCATAACGCTGCTACTGGTACCTCTACCTTGACCTTAATGTAGACCCTAGAGACACCTAGGGTGGACATAGTGTTGTTATAGTAGTGTATTGGTATCTAGGCCCCGTTACGGATGAGTACGTTGTTAACAGTAGCCTATATATAACAGCTGCCGAGCGGTATCCAGCGACAGTATCGAGTCATGCCCATAGCTTACTATGACCTATCGCCATATTGCAACACTGGCAACTTTCTTTTATGGTGATAGTGCTGGTCCCTCTGATAGATATCATATACGTGATACCCATCCATACACTCGTATCTTCATTTCTCCAGTGCTAACCATTTGTTCTAACGCATGGTTCGGCGATGACTTTGTGAAACTGTCTGCTGGGTTATCATCGCCTTGTATCCATTGTATCTCGTATATCTCCCTTTGTTCGTATGATTGCCGCAATGCAATGATAGCTATCATAAGGCGTTTCTCCTTGGTCGTGCCGAGCTTCACAAGACATTCGTAGAGGGCGTATGAGTCAGTACAAATGATCGTTGGTATACGTGGTAGTTGCAGATGGTCAGTGATCATAGCGAGTGTGGTGCTAATAGCGTAGGCGACGTCGGCGCCAGCTACCATACCGTATATCTCACTAGCCGATACGCTTCGCGTTACGCGTTTGCACTTTGTTGAGCTGTAGTGGATAATGCTGCCTCTAAGTTTGAATACGTTGCTGCTAGACTCATCGTTTTCTTCGTGTAATTGCTCGTTGCCAAGAATAATGATGAATCCGAGCTGTGAAGTGAGGTCCTCGTTGTTAGCGAATAATCCATCAACAAAGACAAATAGTCTTACCGTTGTTAGTTCAATTAGCTAAAAACGTAGTCCTTGGTCAAGGTTCCTTATCTGCCAGTTAATACAACAGTTGAGGTTCTTAATCTTATTCTTAGAGGGATACTGGTGTTATGCAGCAATAGAGTAGTCAAATGACGCTTCTGGTTGACAGATTGATGCAATAATGCTCTGTGTGCCTGTTGTTTGACGTATTACTGTTAGGTTGTAGATAAGGTTGTCTCAACGGATTAGAGCTTCTTGCCTTGGCCTTTTTGCAGTAGGGTTAATTCTCTGTTGTAGTCAAGGGATAGCACTCCTCTGGTGAACGTTATCAGGGTATCAATAGTCAATACCTGCTTAGGCTTTGCTGTAAAGGTCGCCTTCTTTAACTCATTGTCTTCTTGGTCTAAGAATCGCTTATCGGTCAGACCGATGGTATCGTCAGTCTGCATGCCTATAAGGCCAAAGCTTTCGGTGTTTAGTGATGATATGAGTAGACAGGGGTCAAAAGTTGATGTATCCATCTGGTGCTTTTCTCTATGGTGCTTGCTGTACGTAGCCCACCAATGGGTACCTGCTTCTGCAATGCCGTATAGCGGCTTAATGACCATCATGATCGAGTTCCTTGGGTAGAGGTGCGCAATTTGGGCGGGTAACTGCGTAAGAATTGCGCGGTTAAGCGGCGTAGTGGATTGAGTGTAGGCTTGCGTTATGTCGCGTAACCAGAAAATATAGTTGCGTTGTTTTGTAAGCGTAGGGGCAAGTGACAGGAGTAATGGCTGTGCCATACGTTAAATAGTAGGCGACTGTGTGAGTATCGCCTTTTTCTCGTCATCTACGTAGCCTTGGATAACTAGACGTGAAGTTTCGTATGGTAACTCATTCTTGCCTTTTATCTCACGTACCATTCGTGATTTGAAGATTCGCTCCTTGCCGTGGCGTTCCTCGTCATACGTAACAATGTAAAACACTCCTCTCTCCATAAGGGCTCTGATTTCTGCTTATCTATCTAAGTTAAAACAGCCAAGCCCAGGCCACCAAGGCCACTAACCAACAGAAAGCTCTAATCAGGACACAAAAAGGACATTAGCTTAGTCTTAATATACTATATAATACAGTAGTCTACTAATATTCTAAATATAATCTTACTAATATAATATCTAGTCTTTATAAAGTTAAATATATCTTATACTTTATTAGCTTTAAAAGTATTTATAATTATTATAAGATAAAGAACACTTAACTAAATCTAGGTTATATAATATTATAAAGCCTTAGACTAAAGTAAATATCTATAATATATAAAAGAAATAGCTAAGTTATTATTTATAAGATTAGGCCTAGAAGTTACTTACTATATAGTTTTCTTAAAATAAGTATAAAAAATCTATTATAAATTAAAGCTAATAAAAGTCTAGTTAACTTTAAAAAGCTTTATTACTAGCTTTAATTATTAATAAAAATCTTATTTTTTAATTTTAATTATAGTTCTAAAATTAGTAATCTACTTTTATAATATATATAAAAAGTTCTTAAGTAAAGACTAATATTAATACTTTTATTATTAGTTATATATATAAAATAGCCTAAAAATAAAGTATTTTAAAAGCTAAAGATATATAAGCTTATAATACTATAATTCTTAATAAAATACTAAGTCTTATTTTTACTACTAATAGTAAAGTATATCTTTATTTAAGTTAAAAATTAAAGTATAATAATTAAAAGTATAAAATAAAAATAAAACTAAAAGACTTTAATTAAAGAATAAAGAGTTAAATAGTTAAATTTTATAAAGAAGTATAAAAAAACTAAAGTAAAGTAAATACCTTAGTACTAATTCTTTATATAATTTAAATAGCTACTAGGCTAATACTACTATAAGTAAAATAATTAATAATTATTTACTATTAAAGAAATATCTAGTAGTTAGTAAATCTAGCTTTATAACTAAGTGTTTAGTAGTATAGCCTTACTTATTTCTTTCTTAAGTTTACTTAATTAATAAGTACTATTAATATAGTTATATAAATAAAAAGTAATATAGCCTTTTTTTAAAGGTTAAATTATTATTAATTTTAATATATAAGGATTATTATAGTATAATATATAGTATAAAGTACTTACTTAAAAAGTAAATTACTTAGTCTTTAATTAAGTAATCTTTAACTCTAAGGCCTATACCTATAATTATACTATAAGCTTTTATATTAACTTTTTAAAGTACTATACTTAAGAACACTAAAAGAGATAACTAAGTCCTATAACTAGTACTAGTAAGACTTAGATACTTAAAATAAATAGTAAGTAAAAATACTTTAAAATTTAACCCTTTATTACTTTAGTTTATACTAATACTTAACTTTAGCCTAGATCTTATAGGTTCTTATTACTTTAATATATTATATATAGTAGACCTAATATCTTAAGGGCTAGCTACTTTTATAAATACTTACTATAACTATTATTTATAAATAAATCTAGTATTATTTACTAGTAAAGTTAAAGTATAAATACTTTACTATTAATAATTAGCTATATATAGTCTAGGTTTATTAAATAAATATTTAACTTAATTAATTAAGTAAAAAAAAGAGTTTTTACTAAAAAATTAGTTATAGTAGATTTTAGTATATATAGTTAAAGAAGTATTAAGTACTTTATATTTAAAGATAAAAATATTACTATATATTATACTTATACTAGTATTAGTAGTAAAATAAAAATTAGTAATAAAGGCTTTATTAAGATATAATAAAATATAATAAGATATAGTAAAGTATAATATATATAATATAGTCTTTTAACTTTTTACTAAAGTCTTACCTATATAAGTACTACTTTTTGTACTTAATAAAACTTATATATTATATATTTTATTATCTTATATAAAGTAAGTACCTCTTTTATCTTATAACTTCTATACCTTATAAATAATTTTAATATTAAAGATAGTAGATTTATACTAAAAAGTTTATTAGTACTTTAACTATAAATATAAATAAAAATATATTTAGCCTTCTTTAAATAGCTTTTCTTAAGAAAGATTATACCTTCTAGTCTAAGGTAGTTAAGTATAATAATAGTATTATTTAAGATAATAGCTTATACTATTATATTTATACTATATTTACTTATAATAGTAGTTAGTTAGGTCTAAGTATATATTATTCTAGTAATCTTAATAATAAGTAAAAGGGTTAAAAGACCTTTATTTATTAATAGTTCTAGATAAATAAATAAAAAACTAAAGAACTAGCTTAAAGAGAATTTAGAAAGCTATAGAGAAATAAAAATTAAGTTAGTTATAAGGTAGAGATTATTCTTTAAATAAATAATAAAAAATAA